TAGATATCGCTTGTAGTCACTCCTATACTGTGGGAAATCATTTTACCTCGAGGGATTGTAGTACACGCATCTCTCCTAAATTTCAGTCCATTGATATATTAGGAGTTACCGAATCGTAGAAGTTGTGAAATAGCGTGTACTTCATTGGACGTTTACCTGTACAGGTGAGAGGTAATTTTTATTTTCTTTATATCCAAAATGTTTGATGGATACTGAAAATGGGACAGTTAGGCTTCTAGCTTCGAGTCCTACCTATTCTTATTTTAAATCTAAAAGTTTTTGGAAAATATTTTTATGTTTTCATATTTTATTGCTACGAGATTCTGTTGGGGAAGCTCATAATGCCCAAAAAATAAATTGCCCCTTTTAAATCAAATCTTTTTATTGGACCAACATAGTGACAATGACATAACAGCGGACATATGATCAACTAGGTATGCAATTTTAGCCAAGAATCTGATTGGTTCACACACAACGTAGACAACCTGCTTCTTACAAAAACCGAGAAGAGCAATCTCGCTGCGCAAATACTTTTCGAATAACTTTTGTACACACCTTTCCTACTTAATTGCTTTCCATTCATGATTTTTATCATATCGTTGAGTTTACAACAAAGACAATGCAGTTTTTGTAAAATAGTGCAGGCAAGCTTATCCACAGAGGCTAGGTCACCAAACTTGTACACCCAATATCTCCTACAGAAAACATTTCTGTGCTTTGCGCCCTCTGGAACATTTGATCAGCATAACATAAACTATTACTATACGATTTTTTATGAAAATTGACCGGTGGTCAAATTCTATATGCTTTGTATCTGGTACTTTGATGCAAATGTAGAAGGCAAACCAAATAAACTCGTTTAAAGTCGCTTGCACACAGATGGCGTCGTCTTATATAGACTTGTTCATGTCAGTGAACTTAGTTCGAGGTCTTGCATCTGTCGTACAGATGACACTGATTACAAGAATCGATTAAGTGCTCGATTTTTAAGAAATCGACCATTATTTGTAATAAAAGAAATTGATTATGAGGAAAAGTTAATCGAATCGGGACAGCCGTATTACGTATCTTCAAAAGTGACAAAATCTCGCTTTTTGACATTATATAGGCTTTTTGTGGGTTTTTCTGGAAGATGTCAACTTAGAACTAGCTGTTGTCCACTTGATGTGCACTCGTACGTGCTTCCTAAACACCATGACGCCTCAGCTATCAATGTTTGGCTCTAATGTGACGTAACATCTGCCTCAGAGATGGCAGTATTGGAGTCTAAGCTATATATGTATACTATAGCTGGAAGGGAACGCCAGGGCATAGGCGCATAGTGAGGCTTTGTGTGCCAATAATCGGCATTGATGATAATTTCCTTAGTTTCTTGTTTAAAATACACTTATTTGAGAGGTATGCCTTATCCCTGAAATCACATATGTAAATTTCCTAAATTTAAAAAATGAGAGAGATAGAAAAATCTTTGGTTGGTGACGTATATATTGCAACTAGCTGGTGAGAAAATGGTCTAAGAACATCAATATTTATGAAACGTGAACATGTTGTTATATCTTGCATTATTTTTTATTTCCAGTCGTATAAACTTCTTAAATTTATTTTGCGATATCAGGTAGAAACTACAAATCAGCGTCTAGATGTGAGGCACTGCGAAAATGTTTTGTGTGTTATGCGCCATCCCTATTTTTCTGTAATGAGACTTAATTATGTGTAATTAAGCCCGGGCTTGATGGTGATTTACCGTAATGCTTCTCTTAAGTTTTTGAAAACGCAGGGAAAACCGGAAAAATTGTAATTTATAACTTTTAACATAACCTCTCTTCAGAATGGACAATACAAATTACCAGTCTAGTATCGCTTATATACTTCACGGGCAACGTATTCAGGAATAATTTTCTCACATAGCAAATATCTGACTTTATACACAAGCAGATCAATATACACAATCACCACACAATCATACAGATGTGATCTTGCTATACAACTAATTTTCTTTCTCTCACATCTTCTGAGAGAAAAATACTCTACAGACTATCTCGGCATTCTGCAACCAACAAAGCACGCGGGAATGTCCTAGAGTCATTCCTACGTACGTGCTGCTAAGGCGACGCTCACAGCGAACAATAGTGGATTGAACTATTTGTATGCCAGCAGGTATTTAGTCAAAAATTTGACATTTTGAAGGTTTTTCACGTAATAACCTTGTGGAGCGGTATCCTATTCCTCTTATGAGGGCTTATTCTAGGAGCATGAATGATTATTTTAGTTCATTATTATAATTAACAACAGAACCTGAGTTTATTTTTAAAATTGTGTACTAATATCCTTTGTACTTCTAAATTAATTATAAATAGCAAATACGGTACCGATCCATTTGGCAACGCCGCTTTCGGTTTTTATCTATGGCGGCTGTGCTTTCAGCCGGTCCGTGGCAGTCGGCATTTGACTGGCATACGGACCGCGACGCTTTTCGCTCGTTGATGCCGCGGGCCATGCTTCCTGCCGCCTGCTATCCTGATATTTCTGCTCATTTCCTTTCCTAACAGACCCTCAAAAATGACGATTCAATGTGCCTTTTCGTTCTCTTAAAAAGTGCAGTGCGAATAGTGCTGATCTAATGAGGGTGAGCTACACTGCTACTTTTATGGCACATAGAAGCTCCTGAAAGGCGAATGTCACATGATGAATATTGACTCTGACAGTGTTACTAGGACGTTAGTAACTATTGATGTATAAGATTACGTAGAAATCCATCGACATTGACAGAACGATCAGTAAATACCGGTACGGACCACTGTAAATATTGATCGCGTAACATTCGCCATATCTAACAATTGAATTTGAAGGATGTATCCAAATTGTTTTGGTTGTCTTTCCCAAAATATAGTAGCTTTTTGAAAACAATGTTGGACTGAGATATGCAATCGAAAAAAAAGTGTCTAGCAGAGATGCTAAGTTAACCTTTGCAGCAGCATGAATTGCTAACAAAAAACATTATTATTAATAAAATAGTGAGAATTTTGGCCAACGTTACTTGTTGTTTTCTCATTCCCTTGATATGAAACTTAAACAATTTGAAGAATTGTGGTAGGGTCCGGGGGAAGGGGATGCTGATCATCACGTTCTGGGCAAATTTACCTATTTTTAGGTGTTTAATTATATTACTTAGTAGTGACGGAGTTAACGTAGCTTTAATAAGTTCAAAAATATTGTGCGTATGATCTGTAGGTTATTTATTCATCCCAAAAGTGAAATTGTAGATTGGGATGCCTCGAAATTTTCGATTTTACTACTGTTAGCAAAGATAAAAGGATATCTTAGGACTTCAAATGTAAGGATCTAAGTTCACAACACTAAATCCAGCTATGGATCCAGAAACAGTAAAATGTTTAACTTCATTTTGTTGCTTTGCGACTAGAAATTGGTATCTGAGACATATTTCGTGTATAAATTTATCAAAGATATTTCGTATGAAAAGAGTGACACATAAATGTTTATTTTATATTGGGTCACAAAATACGAGAAACAGGAAAATAAGTTTTTGGCGATTTTATTAGTGGAATAAATAAGTAATTATTGAAAAATACAGTGGCTTTCTCGCTAGAGTAAACCTTACGTACCTACTTCGAAAAATCAAAACTTAAGTTATTTTAAACCTCTTTGAGGGATAACCAATGTTCTTGCGCCCACCAGTTCAAGAGATCTGAAAAGATCCACAAAAGGAGTATTATTTTCACTCTACAAGTTGGTAATATGTGTAAATTTTCTTGGAAAAGTACCAGAAAGCTAGGGTGCGTTACTAGAGGTCAAAATGACGTTCCATTCAATATTCTTAGTGGTCTACAATACAGAAATAAAGAAACTCTTGGAAATAAAACTAAAATGTTATGTGCGTCTATCGAAATGTTGACTAACTGGCAATTAAAGGCTTAAATGTTTTGTTTACTTTATTTTGATAATTTACAACTTTGAAAAGAAGTCCGACTGACATACACGAAGTTTTTTTTTCTCCTCGAGATCTATGGGCTCCACACGAATTCAAATTCTATATACGCCACTGAATCAGTGCTTTACAAAATTGTACAAAAAATTCTACCAATATATGGTAAAAACGATATCTGATAGCAAACTATGCTTATCAGAAAGATAAATTTTCAACTAGTTTTGTTCTAAGAATGGTGGGGATTACTACTTTATGGTCTGCACTTTCACCAATATTGGAAACATAGCGCGAATTCTTTACTGGTCTTGAATACAGACAAATTTCTCTTCGATACTGGAAATATAAGTCTGTAATTGATAAGTTCATGCTCTTTCAGGTATAGATGCATCGAGTAATAAAGCGTTGTAGCTTATTCCGACCTAAAATTAAATGTATGAGTTTTAGATAACAGATGAAAATAAACGCAAGAAATGTGTTCTAGATAAATTAATGCTGATTATTATTATACATATATATGCAATGTCTCTTTATTGTAGTTCTATAGATTTTGTCGTTCTGTGGTGATGTGATTCTGAACATATTCATTTATTCTCCGGCTTGAACACCAATAATACCGAAGCCTTCCTATGAAGTATTTAACAATATTTTATAATTTTGGGGCTAGCTTCACGAGAAAATTGAAAGACATAAGCAACCTGTCACGACTGCTAGTAGTCAGCACTGTCAAATTACCACGGTTCGCTTTATTGGTCATAAAAACTATTATTTTTTCCAACGTCATTTGCTATCGTTGTCAAAAGTAACGTAACGCAAAGCTTAACTGTTCGTTATCTTTTTTGCACCAGAAACTGTCTATTATCTTCAAAAAGGTATGTGATAAAGGACTCGTCAATTTCTACGTGGACAGTAGTTACCTGAAAGTAGCAAGAAGATAAAAAAAAGTTAAGCCCAAAGCGAACTCCTCCAGGATCTTGCTATGAGTGTATGTTAATAGTAATATCCTTGGGAATCTAATGTCTGTTGCATTTTTTCTACAACCATTGGTTTTTTGCAGCATGGACGTTCCTTCAAGTTCACAGACTTCTTGCTGAAAAAGACTTTTTGAAACGAGAGCGATCATCGTTATAATCGCATAAAAACTAATAATAAAAGCAGAGTTAGTGCGGGCATCAGGTACTCAAAGTGAAGTGTAGTGTTTAAGGAGGTACTACCCCGAGCCCCCTTGGGATTTTTTATGAAAAGGCTTTTTGAGACGAGTTTCCGTCACCAAAGAAAAAAACTTGATTCCGACTTTCGAACTTACAAAAACAAATAATAAAAACTATCGTTACTTCGTGTTATAGTGTCGTTAAAGTCCCTAAAGTGAGTGTAGTGTTTTATCGGGACGTACCCTGAGCCCGGTTGGGCATGGATACGGGAGAGTGCTGCGTGGCCCAAACGCCCAGTGACCAGATCGTCCCTCAACATCCAGGAGTTGATTGCTGGGCTACTAGCAGCAGCAACTCTCAACCGTTTGTCGACGCTTGGCTACTTCAAATGCAGGTAAGATTAAGTTTTTATTATCTCTACTTTGACGCAGCTTCGACAAACGTAACACAATACCAACCGATGAAAAGGCAGTAGCGATATTCACTATGTACGAAGTTGCTGCCGTCAAATTGATCGCAGTGGAACTTAGCAGAAATGTGAAATAACTCTGGATTGTCATTTGTCAAATTGCTATATTTCATACAATACCACCTTAGGAGTGGATTTTATAAAACATTAACATTTGACGGTCACTTGAACTAGCGCTATGAATATTAGTGAATTCTATTGAAATATGGAATAAGATCATGAAAAGCGATTGTATTATGAACAAGAGCACTTTTTGATTCCAACATGATGCCTTTGTACAGAGAAAACAGCGCAACTTCCATTTATTTCTTATCAATTTACAAATAATGGTTGAATCTATTTCCCAGCGAATGGGAGTGTGACAAATAACAGGTCAATTTTCTAGCTATTATATTTATTAGGATGCTTTAGCTGTTTTTGACGACTGTCACGTACAGTGTGTTGTGCATAATACGTACCTGTAGAAATGTGCCGATTTTTTTATTCTGCAAATAAGAATATAAAATGTATTCCAACTGGTTCGTCATCTCTTGCTACATCAAAAACAATGTAATTTATGATCTAGAAATGCACACCAAATGTAAACAAACATTTCTGGGTCGTAAAAGATCGATATTTGTAAATGTATCCGCATTCACCTATTATTCATCATTAAGATATTATAAGTCAAAATCAAAAATACCTAGTTGCGAAAATATTTGCAAAACTTGTTATATCTCATTTATTTCTGATCTGGAACACGTCTAGAATCTTAATTGCTTTTGGAGTGTTCTGCAGTCTTGCCGAACCGAAAAAAAGAAAAAAAACGGAATCAGTGAATAGTGTCGTTGAATTCGGTAGGAGGAAATTCTGAGCTGTCGCAAGATCCGTATTGGATCAAGGGACTTCGCGTCACGCGGCACCGTCTATGAAAAACGTTTATTATTGTATTGAGCGCGCACACAACATATGTTTTTTGATGGCATAGTTCTATATTACAACTTGTACAATGTGCATACCGGTCGCTCTTAAAAACTCCTGAGCAACCATCCTGGAAACTTCTTTCTCCATTCTTGCTTATAGGATTGTGCATATTTTTCTGATTCACTCCTGAACTCATGAAGTTTCATCATTTCAATTAAATATTTATTTTGAAAACAGACACGTTTCGGTTTCCTTGTCGCTTGTCCGGTGATGCGGTAATGACGGTGATCTACCAGTCAGTACCTTTTGTACGCACAAAGGAGTAAGGGATGAGGATGTACCTTTGTAATCATTGGCAACCCAAATCTACGCCCCTCGAATGCCAGACTGCCTGAATGTGTATGCACGTATGATTGATAAGGGGCATAAGACTATGAAGGCTACATAAAATTCACTTTTAGCTTTATTTTTGGTTCCAGCTCTTTTTCGCCAAGTATGGAAATACATGAATTATTTTGACAAATCGTGGAAGATTACGTTTTTGGTAATTATTCTCATTTCGGTAAAAATACCGAAAATTCCGGTCAAGTCAAGTTTTAACATGCATAGGAAATCTGAGACTTGCAATATGAATTTTTATTCTGGTTTCCGTTTTTGTACAAATTGTAATAGCAATTTATAGGAATGTACACCTATACATCATTGAATTTCTTTCGGTAGAAGGCAAAGTATTGCAAAAGTACACTCTTAAAACTTAAACTCGAGCTTTCGAAGATCTATGTCTTCATCGTCTGGAGTAAGTCGGCAAGATTGTTGCTGAAATTGTATTTTTAAATGTGGAGGTCAATAGTTGATAGTTTCCAAATTTTCAAATTTCTTCAAAAATCAATCAACGTTTAAGTGAAAAGCCTTTTCAAAAATAAAAAAACATAGATATGATTTGCCATTTATTAATAAAATAATGCCATCCTAATCGAACCTCATCAGTGCAGTTTTTTATTCGTCGACTATGTGTTCCCTTCACTGTTGTTTGAAAACAATTTCAGCAACAACCTCGCCGACTTACTCCAGAAGATGAAGACATAGATCGTCGAAAGCTCGACTTTAAGTTATAAGAGTGTACTTTTCAATACTTTGCCTTCTACCCAAAGAAATTCAAGGATATTTTCTCCTAACAGTTAAGGCAATTAACTATTAATACTATATATACATATATAAGAACACCACCACCTCAATCGTTTTGTTTATACTTACTTAAATTTAGAATGTGAATAACTATTCATATCAACCTTAACTACTTTTCAAGTATCATTACGCTTAAAATTCTATGTATGTCCATTCATACTCGTCAATATTTCATTTGAAGCTTCTATTTTTCACGAGATTTTAGCAAAATGTAAAATACTAAAGGTAGAAAAAATATCCGGTGGGCTGTCAACACCGCAGCCCGGTTGACAAGAATGACAGCTGTCAAGCCCAGGATACCGACCGAGCCATTTGGGACGTCGTGGCGTTAATTTTGAAATTTTCGTTTGCATTTTGTCAAGTCTTGTGCAACAATTTCGGGAAAGTATATTTCAATAGTTGGTCGGATTTCCTCCACTGAGACTAATTCGGTTAATCGATTTTGAAAAACAGGTTATTCAATTAACCGGTTATTCTTGCCCATCCTAGTATATTGTTCCAATTCATATAATTGTATAGCCTAGAATATACTAAAATATACTCCGTGAAAGAAAATTATTGCAAATTCTAGTTTTTTGCAGGTTTCAGGTTTGCTGTAAATATAGTGTGGATGTTTGTTCACTGAACGAAAAATATTCATATTTATGGGTGTATGGATACCAAAATCTTTCTGGTTTTGTACGTAGGTATGTACATCAATCTAAGGTGCCATAATGGTACTGATGAACGTCAAGTAAATGAATGAATGTTTGAAAACGAGCAATATTTATGAAATTTTTGGTAGAAATGGTGAAATCCACCCTCAATTTGTTAGATATGTTCTAAATTCTTGAAAAAAAAACATGCTGCATTGTGAACTGTAAAAATTATGTAAAACACAGGTCGTGCAAATTTTGTTCCTTTTCTACAGCAACATGATCAAGTAACAAAATACATGGATAGCTGTATTTGTAACGTGGCAAAATCACATAACTTTCATTTCTATTATTTTGATCACTTCTGAGTCATTTGAATTTCCCTTTATGAATGATTTTCTGTAGGCAAATTTCATAATTTATTGATCTATCTATCTATCTATCTAAACCTGAAAGTATAATTTGACACATATCTTTCTTTCTTAGCGACTATTGTGCTGAAATCTGTAGGACACTAGAATTTCCTCATAAAATATCGTGGCTCCCTCGTAAAGTTGGTTTTCTGGGGTTTTCCCATAGGCAAACAGTGATGCTGTAAGTGTAGGTTTGGTTGCGGAACTTTAAAACTGGTGTCCCTCATTTCCTGCCGAAGCCTTGGTTGAGAAGGTGTGTCGACCCTTCATTTTGTTTCCATTTGTGGCTGTTTTGGAGCCGGTTGTAGCCGATTTTGCTGGAAATCACCCTTTTTTCTTGAGAAAAAACCCTGATGTAAACAGAGTTTCTTGCACCTTAAATTTTGAGTGCCAGGCAAGCACCCCATACGAGTACTTTATAAAGTTCCTCATGACACTGTCGACTGCTGGCCGCTCTTTTTAACTCATAAACCTGAGCTTATGTGTGCTGAGGTCATCTCGCCAGCATCTAGAGCTGTGGCTGGAAGAAGTCGACAATCCGGATAAGTTTAGGTTTTAGTTTTATTTTCAAATGTCAATCATTCTTCACGGTATAATCATTTTATTGTGCTGAAGTTTTGAATATCTTTTTTTATTTTACATATAGATTAATTATTTACTTAATATACTGTGATTGTTTTAAATATCTTTCGTTTTATTTGGATCTCTGTACAATTAATTAGTTGAAGTCATTGCTACTAGATTCTTTTCTTCTGTGTGGGTGGTAAAGCAAAACAAGTTTCGACTAACATCTCGGGGATTTGTGGCTTAATCCGTCCTGAGTCACTGGCGCTCTCACCCCCCCCCCTTCCCTTCGCTTTATTGAGCTGAGCCTAAATTTGAACACCACTAGACAACTGTTTTGCATCGTCTGACCATTTGATTTCATTTATCGTGTTTTATTAATTAAGAGAAGAGGAAGCGCACCACCATTTCCTTTATTTATTTATAAAAAAGGCGTGGCACTCTAAAGAGGAAAAAGTAAGCAGCATGTTCTGACACGATATAGTGTACATATTTCATTTTTACTATACTGTGTTCAAGAATTACATCAAACTAAAAATTAAAGTAGTTACTACAGACTGACGTGAAGCTAAACCAAAAAACCCAAAATACAATTTTATCAAGAAACTGGGTACCCACATTTTATGATGTTTTGTTGCATAGTTTGAGTTTGGAAGTTCAAATTATGTTTTGTGGATTCAAATCCCGCACGTTTTGTTACATTCATATTTGTACAAATGCGCAAATTACTTAGTTCAATATGGATCACACCCTTATTGAGTACCTTCATTAGGATTTATTCAAACTCAATGGAGAAAGCCATTAATTTGTTAACAAAACATATCGGTTTCAAGAATTGACAATGTCCGGGTGCCGAATAATTTTGGTCACTAGGCGACCGTGTCGTCACGACATCACAGCTGCACTGCTTTATCGGGTTAAGTGAAAATGGTAACACTGCACTTGATACTGTCAGTAATTTAGTTAAGCAAAACAGAGCTGTTATTTTCAAGGAGGGTTTTAGTCGAGATTCTTCAAACCAGTAGATGAGGTATACATTTTTTCAATCATTAGCAATTAATTACTTACTTGTATATTTCACTGGTGCTATTTTGAGGCCAGAATTGCACAAGCGTACTACAAAAGCTCAATTTAGTTTTCTAAAAAACCACGATACGGGAACTGTAAATGATTACCACAAATTTGGAGTTTTTGAGACCTCAGTTGCACCGTGTACACCTTAACAATATAATGTTTTAAACAAGGTGAGGTGAGGTTCTCACAGAAATTTTTGGTAGATTTTATGATAAAATAATAAGATAATTTTAATCTCAAGATCACCAACATCCAACAACATACCAACGAATATGATCCCCATGATCCTAAATGCATTCTTGAAACCAATTATATGAGCTTATGTCATACGCCATTTCAAAAAATATTCAGAACGTCTCATAAAACCAACAAAGTGCGTAAAATTTTTAATGCACATCTTGATGTAGTCCATGATGCAGTTTTATTTTATTGCACTGGTAAATACCAAGAATTTATTTTATATTCCAGTGTATGATTCTACCTTACATAGGTATATTTTTTGTAACGAGACTCGTAAAGATTTTTATAGTGGAGTAGTCTGATGCAAAGAATGTTAAAATTTTAACTTCGACAGTAAAATCGCCAAGTTTAGGTTCAGTATGGTTTAATGTCACATAGAAAAAGAACACCCAGTAATAATAAATTTCTTGCAGCAATTTTTGTGTATATATCTCTTGGGGTTAGGTAAGTAATTGATCAAAATTTCAGAAAGACCCAACCTTTGAAACAAATGTAAAATGTTAATAATTTTTTAGGAAATAAACATGGTAATTATATAAGTATGTTTAGGGATATAGGTTCTTCGTCATTATCCAGTAAATATACAAGTTACATTTATTAACTAATCGCTATCACTATCAGTATAATCTGAAGATTCTAAATCGTTTCCTAAGTTAATGATTACCGGTTCGACCGCTCTTTCCATACATTGGTCAGTTGTCCACATTTTTTTTCCTCCTTCTCAACATGTTCGATTGCTTTTTTCAATTTTTTGGAGTTACATCTTGTACCGCGGTGTAAAACAGCTGCCTTGCATATGCGATCTTGAAAGTTGTGTTTTTCTGGAAACTTTGTTTTTAATTTGTACCCAAATTAACTCGATAGGGTTAAACTCGCAATGGTAAGGAAGCAGGCGTAAAATAGTAGGATTGGTAGATTTAACCATTTCGTCGATGACATACTTGACCAGATTTAAAAGTTCTGCTTTGATCATTATCGTTGTCAAAGGGAACATTATGCCTTCGTAGCCATTCCTGTATTTCCTCTTTTCTGTTTCCACTGTTTGGTGCTTTATCAATACGCCTACTGTGGTATGAAGCATTGTTCATAACAATGACAGTGTTCTCTTGTAGACGGCTTATAATATTTTTAAACTATTCTTCAAATAAAATGGCATTCATATCGGCGTGGCAGTCTCCTACTTGTTTTGATTCAAATACCAATAGTCCATCTTCCACGAAGCCATTATCAGATCCGATGCGAAAGATAATTAGCCGTTTTCCTTTACCTGAAGATTTTTTTAGTCCCGTGGAGATACCTTCCAGGAAGGCTTGCCGAGGATGCTCAACTGATGAATCCACCCATACTTTGCTAACTAGACTAGTAGTATATCTCTATACTTCCAGATTTCGCGTATCTACGTCTCCAACATATTATCTCGTCCTTATCTTTCAAGATACTATTTCGCTTCCTTCCTACAAAACTAAAAATTACATTAAATCTTTAAATTCGTTAATTCAATGGAGCATATTATAATTAACGAATTTCAGGTGATTCATCTTAACAAAATTGCAAATTTAGTTTAGCCAAAAAGAATGAACAAAAACATAAAAAACTCTAAACTATTTTTATGTGCGAACATTATACGGATTTTTTCAGTTTTGTATTTCACTTTCACGGAGAAATAAAAAACAAAATAGGTTTTTTGTACAACACCGAAAATTAAGTTCCTTCGTCAATGTAGCCAACGTCGATCTTTTGAAGTTTGGTTTATTGACAACAAAATTTTGTCCAATGTGGGGTGGTTCATCTCGGAAGAAAAATTCGTGGATTTTTCTTCGTATTAATGCCTTAGCTTCTTGTGAAACGTTGTCCAAAGCTACTCAGGCTCTATGGTAACCTTGGGAGGAGAAAGACTGTTGCTCTGGCAAAATTTTATATACGCTCCTGAAAACAAATTAATACATTTTGCATATATTGTATATACATATATGCATTAATAAATAATAAAAATAATTGACAATAAGTTTTAAAAATCAAAATGTGTACAATAGAAGTAGCTATCATATTAGTGGGTCAGATATTTAACAGAAAATAACTATTATTTGGAAATAGTACATCAAACTACAAAACATTTTAAATTCTACTTCAAAGCTAAATCCTCACCTGATGCTTTTGAAACAAAGGCTACACGTTCTGTCTGAGTTTAATTTGGACAGCGCTCCCGAGAAGCTATACACATATTTATAATAGTTTCTTTTTCAGAAACCGACAAAGCTCTTTTTGTCCGTTTTCTTGGTAATTGGCGATTGTCTAATAAGGGCTCATGTCGAAATATCCGTTTAAAAGTTGTCTCACAAAAATAAATGTAGCACACAAAAAAAAATCCAACCGCACGTCACAGACCTTCGGAAAGAATTAAAGTGCTTTTATTTATTTTTTTTGGTGAGGGGGGAATGCGTTTACGCACCATACCGCAGCCCGAGCTACGGCGTGTGTGGGACTCCAGGTTGTCTTGAGGAGACCACCTAATACCCACTAAACCCTAACCTCCGCGTGGCCCGACTCATCAGCGTCTCGGTAGGCCATGTGTTGTGCATGACCTGTGGTCTGCTACAACGTCTCCTCATGTGTTTCAGTCTCTGGGAACGCCGGGTTGGTTCCCTTTACCTCGCACATTCGATCGATGTCGTTAAGCGATCATCGATAGAGGGTCTGCTAGGTTCTCTTGAAACTCTTGTTTTCGAAAAATCAAGAGTTTCAAGTCCTCTTACCTATATATTGTTCCTGGTCCTGAAGGGTCCTGGTCCTGGTGGGTCCTGGTCGTGGCGGGTCCTGGTCCTGGTCCCGGTGGGTCCTGGTCCTCTGCATCCACGCCGTGGGGGGGGGGGTTAGCAACCGCGGGTTCTCCTAGTATCCTGGTCAAGGTTCCAGTTAGCGGGTGCCAACTGGGACCTTGGTCTAGGGTACCTGGTTCTGCGGTTGCGAGGCCTCTCGTCCGGATCGTAGTCCATGAGGAATCGTAGCTGCTCGTTCGGGTGGTCCTGAGCTTTCTGGAAGGTCTTCTCCGCTTTTTTCCTCATGTACTCGTGAATGGTGTCCCAATGCAGGTCTCTACGCAAGGTTGAGTTTCTTACGTAGGATGGTGCACTGGTGGCGATCCGGAGTAGCATCATCTCTAGAGCAGCAAGTCGCTTGCGGTAGCTGGGGGCAGCGTACCCCCAGACCGCGGAGGCGTAAGCGAGCTGAGGTCTGGCGATGGCCTTGATCAGCCGCAGCTTGGTCGCTAGTAAAGTGCTATTGTGAACTAGGAGGCTTATCTACCGAAAACGGACCAATAGGAACGAGGCGCATGCCGGTCAGATGATTTATTACTCCGTAAGTTCGTAGGATAACTTATAGCCCGCAATTGACATTGTGGACTAGAACCGGTCTCGTAGAGCCAAATGCGTAAGGCGACGATCTTGGTGTGGGGTCGTTGTTCTAGAACGCCCTGTACCTGTAACTCTTCGTGTAAGACTTCCTGATTAAATGCTCCATAACAAACCACCGTTTTAGACTTTTATTCACCCTTGGTGGCAATTTCTCTAAAGAACCGACCAGCCACAAGCCCATTATTCGCCCTATCAAACACGCTAAGCTGTTGAAAAAACATTATCTTTTTTGTCTCACTCTAGGTATCTACAAAACACAACTATAGCTTAATTATTTATTTGCAAGAACCGAAAATCGTTTAAGCGATCTGGTCGAAAAGCTGATCATTTTTGGTCCTAACCTAAACAAACATACTTACAAGACCTTTGTAATAAATAAATTATTACTGAATGTTCCTTTTTCCATAACACTCAGTATATCTGAGAACCTTACCTCATATTAACATTTTTGTAGAAAATAAAATCCCAACCATTCGCGGATGACGTTGTTCAGATGCTAGGTTAGATTCGAAGGAGCATGCGCATTGGACAATGCATGCTCGACCAAGGGTAAAACCTATTTGGAGATTATTAGAAGATATGTGCCTTATGATTTGGTGTTATCGTTGCATTTTGTTGGGGTGTTTGTGTTTTTCTCAGCTTTTTTGCAACTTTGAACAGTTTGTATCAATTCAAAAGAGTGAAGTCAGACAACCATTTTTGTAAAATTTAGCGACTGCTAGTTCTTTATTGTGGATACCCACTTGTATTATTGCTCAGAGAAATGTCAAATGCTTATAGTTCAAGCTCCAAATCCAATTGAATCTCAGGTATCGGTTCGAATGATGATGAAAACATTTTGTACACTGTGCTTCATAATCGAAAAATAAGAGTTAAATAAATGTAATCGAAGTCGATTCATGGAACATTTCATAGTGACTAGCAAAGTGGCAGAATATATGTCAACTAAATACGAACACAAAAATGACAAGAGACAATAGGAAACTTTCTGCTTATGAGCAAAAACTCATCTTTTGTGGTTAGCAGAACATGAAACACCATCATTTCTTAAGCAGTATCCGGAACTGTAATTCAATGGCCTAGCAATAAGAAAACAGACAGGGTTTCATCTTAATGTCAAATATAATGCTGTTACTGCCACGTCAAACGTATTATGACTGAAAATGTGTTCTAGCAGAATCAAATTTGATACCGTCTGAAAGTTCTGGTGTCAAACCTTTAGAAATGTGATGCTAGAATATTACTGCTGTTTAGGAGTATTATACGAGATCTCCCAAGGTTATTACGAGAACAACCTATTAATGTAAAAAAAAAACGATAACATATCAACTTGTTGACCATGTAAGCTAGTGTGCAAATAGTTCATTCCGCGCTTGCTACAAGTGAACATGAAGTGAACGACTTCTAGTTCCAAGTTGACGTCTTGTAGGAAAAGCTACATAATACTACTCGTCTTTGCTTCTCAAGGCGGTCAGGAGGACCTTTGAATTTAGGCATAGTCACTGTAGTGTCAGTGTCTGTCGTCAGTCTGTCAGGTCTGGTGGCCCAGAAACATGACAAGTTGTAGGAACCTACATGTCATACAGATCGACATAAGTTCCTTGATGAATTGTATCATGTTGTCTATGATTCTGTATTTTTATTTATAAATACTTGACCAACAATGTCTATGGCCCGACCCGTAGGGACCGTAGGGCTAAAGAGGGATACAGGAGAAAGAGGGAGATGCCACCGGCACGGCTATCATGTAAAAAACCTATAAAACGTCAAAAAAACCAATATAATGTCATCTTGCAGACTAGGTAGCTTTTAGGGTGCAAATAGTTCATGCCACGTT